GCTACACTTGATCGTGATTTCATTTGTCGTTGTTTTACTTGTTCAGTTGATCTAGTTAATGGTACTGATTTAATTGATAATTTTCTTGTATCATCCACTGGTACACGTGAATATTCAAGTAAAATAATAGCTAATTCAAAATAACATGTTTGAATAAATTGACTATCACTTGTACTTAAATAACAAAGACGTATAGCATTGATTAATTTTTGTACAATTGTTTTTAATGGAACTGTTGTTGTTGTTAATGTTGTACGTGTTTGTAAACGACCAATACGAGCTAAATGTAAAAGACATTCATAATCAATATTAACATAACGTTCAACTATAAGTCGATTCAGCGTTAAACATTGACGAAAGAGTGTTTGAGCATTTTCAAATAAATTATTCATTGTTGGATTTTCATTTGATGTACGATATGCATAATCAACTATAATAGTTCCTACACGTAATTTAGCAAATACAAGTGGAAGTAATAAAGATGAATAAAGATTATTCAATGGTATTATTGGCATAGCAAACCAATCATGAGGATGATTTGAACTAGTCATTTGTATACGTTCATGCATTTGAACAAGCTAAAAAAGAGATTATTTATAACTTATTTAATTCTATAATATACATACAAAATCAAGTATAGATGATTGTAATTTCTCATTTTCTTTTTCTTCAATTAATTTGATAACAGTTCCATTAAAATCTTGAACACATTGATGTTCCCAAAGAAGTATTTGTGTTAATACTTTCTTATGTAAAATATCAATTGATAAAATATTATTTTGTTTATTAACTAAAGCTGATTGAAATAATTGATAGGTTGTAGTTAATCGTTGAATATTTTCTTTAATATCAACTAAATCACTTAAATTATTCAATGATTTATAAAGTAAAAATGTTGCTTGCATTGATTCACATTGATATTTTTCCGATTCATTTAATCCATCATCAATATAAACAGTAATATTTGCTAATTCTTCACGTATAGAATCATCTGTACCTTTTACTTTTCCTAATGTATTTATTTGTTGTAACATTATATAACAAAGATAAGCACGTTGTTTTAACCATGTATAAACATTTAAATTATAGGAATAACGATTATTAAAAAGAATATTTAATGCATTTAATACTTTATGTGGATAACGAGTGATAGTACTTGAACGAGGATACGATGATTTACGTTTTGCAGTTCTATTTGAATTAAAAAAATTATTTAGATTATTTTTTATTTGAAAAAATTTACCCATTCGCTATTTTCTTTTCCGAAGTATTATCTTCACCAACTGTCGATAAAACTTTTAATGTTTCAAGTATATATCTTGCTGCTAACTGATCTAAATGACATTGATGTGCACATTCAGATAATAATGTTAAACAATCGATAAGAAGTTGATATTCATAAGATTGTAAATTTGATGGATGATCACGTGATAATTCATCGGTTTGTTGTAATATATTTAAACATTTTTCTGCAAATAATTTTCCTGTACCAACAAGATACGATTTAATATGTACAAATGAATGTGTTGTTTCATCTTGAAATATAATTAATTTTCCTTTTCCTGTTATCTCAGCAGTATTATAATTGTGTCGATGACGTGTCTGTGTTGTTAGAATTCGTTTTAATTCACTATCTCTAGAAATGCATATATATAAATTTAAATAAAATAGAAAAAACAATGATAAAATTTACTGAAATAGATCAAGATCAGCAATAACTGGTATTCGTTCAGCAAGACGGATAAAGAATAATGATAAGAGATAATGAAATTCAATAGATAAATGATTTCCATAGAGTTGAGATATTGTCTTGGAAAGTTTTGAAGTTAAAAGACCATCCAATGCCTATTCGATATATATAAATATATTATCTTACATCCTCAAAATACTGAACTTACTTCTATATTATGATTTGATATAATACTTTTTGAATTATCGAAATATTTTGGCTAAAAATAAAAATATAATTCAGATTAAACAATTATAAAAAAAACTTCTACTTTATATTTTGATGAATTCATATCAGCGATGCTTAATCGATATTGTCCAGGTAATTGTGTACCAGGTAATTTTTGTCCATCGATAAGTATATTAATAATTTGATGTGCTTCATGAAATAGATTCAGTTGAATAAGAGCACGTAAACGTAAAAGTCGTGCTTGTACTGTATGTTGAATATTTCGACAATGTAAAGCAAAAACATCATAAAGTGATACAATTGGAAGTACCTAAAAAGAAATTAAAAATTTTCTTAGATTTATTTTTTTCTTAATAATTACATGAAGACAAATATCATGATGAATAAGAGTTTCTGATATATAAGCTAATGTATCCATGAGAGCTGAAGGATTTAAACGAAATTCATCACTTGTTAATTGAACACCAGGCCATACATGAATTGAATTATCAATAAATAATGTTGCATAATCAATATCATGTTCAGAATGTGGTAAAGTATAATAAAATATTGAACGTAAAAAATATGAACTTAATAAACATGTTTGAAGATGTTGATCACAATTGATATGCATATAATACTTAGCTAATTTACAGGTAACAATAGCACATAATAAACTTCCCCATATACCACATTTTTGTATTAATTGTGTTCGATTTGAAAGTAAATTTTTCAATGAATCTTTTTTAAACCATGTTGTTACAATATCTTGACTATCAAGAATTGTATCAAGAACATTACACCAAGCAACTTTCGATTCCCTAATAAAATAATATATACGTTCATTTCTCTTCTTCGCAAAAAAAAGAATAATCTAAATCGCTTACATTATTTTGTCACAATGAAGATATAAATCACCTAATTCACTTTGTACTTGACAATATTGATCACGAAGATTTTGACCCAATAATAATTCTATAAATAGAATGTATTGTCAGATTATTTGTTGTAATAATAAATTATATCTTACTTGATAATGTTTGATATGCATCAATAACTGATTCTTTAGTAATTTTTGTTGATGGTGATGTATCATTTTTATTATTAACTAATGGTGAAAATTCTAATGGTTCACCAGGTGTTAATGGTCGATAATGAAATGTTGATACAGTTTGATCTGTTTTTCCTGATCCATGTCGTGCAACATTATCAATAATTGGTGTAAATATAAGAAAATCTTTTGCTAATTGTTGTTGTTGTTTATAGATAAAAAATGCTAACATTTTTCGACATTCAATGATTGATCGAGATGAAAAATATGTTTTATCTAAACCTTGTCGTAAAAGTTTACGACTAAATTCGACATCCAATGGTATACTAATTAATTCCAATGCATGATTTGTTTCTTTTTATGAAAAGAAAAAAGAAGAAATATAATGAAATAAATAAATATGAGAACATACGAGCATAGAAATCAAATCCTTTTGGATCAAGTCGATCACCAAGACTTAAATTTGCTGTTGAATTTTCATACATACTATCAGATATTTGATAAAGTTTTTCTGGTCGAAGTGTATAAAAATCATCGGGATGTATAGGTCGACCAAGTGCAGCAATAGCAGCATCAAAATGTGGTTGATCGATTGTATTTTGTCGATCACGTAATTGTTGTAATAAAGCTGTTTGAGCTGCAATTAATAATGGACTAACTATATCAGCAAAATAATGACTAAAATAAAAAAATAAATAATATTCGTTTGTTTTTTGAAAATCATTCAATATACTCAGATAAAGCATTGAATTTCATTGCTATTGTTCCTAATTTTTCCCATTTAGCAGCAACATACAATGCATGTAGTGAGCGTAAAATAAATAATTTTATAAATCTTAAATCAATTAATACAGTACGATCTTGTGGTTGTTCAAAATTAAATGTTGTTCCAGTCCATGAACATTCAATATTTGTAAACCATTGATTTAATTTATTTGTATTTGTATTTGATAATTTTTCATTATTATTATCATAGAATGGTTTCGTACGATAGAGCATATCAAGTAATAATTCACTTGCTATAAACATTGTTTGATAACTATGTGAAAGTAAAGCATTGATTGAAAATATTTTATTTAATGTTGTTGTTGATAAATATTGTATAAGTTGTTCAATCGAATCATAAAATGATTTCGAAACATTCTGTAATAATGTCCAATTATTTGAACGATGTGCAAGAACAATTGATCGACGATAATGTACAACAAAACGATCGATATATAAACGAATATGTTTAAAACCAAATGGATCATTTGTATTCGAATCAGGTTGTTGATGATCATGTGTTTCATGACGTGGAGAACTTGGATGATAGATATTTTTTGGTGGTGGTTTAGAATTCGTATTTGCTGCTTTTCGATCACGTACTGAATTTGAACCATCACGTTTTTGATTCAAATAAATACTTGGATCTGAGATTTGTCCTACAAATATAAAAGAAAAACTTTATCTATAGAGTGTCATAAATTTTCATACCAGTAACTAATTCATTGATAATTTCTAAACGATCTTTAACATCTGATTGTGTAAAATTAAATTCAAATTTTTGTTCTAATGTTAAATCATCAAGTATTTCATCATCAGTTATATTTCGAATAATAAGATTTGTTTGATCATAAGTAAATAAATTTGGATTAATACGATCAAATCTATAACGTCCATCTTCTAATACAGCTTGTAATTTATCATTTGTTTCTTTAATTACACATGGTATTCTATCTAAACAATAGAGCCCATTAAGTAATTCATATTGTGAACGCCACACTAATTCATCATTAATAAATCGACGAAATTTTTTTCGCGCTTGACTTTGATGATAAAGATCAGGTAAGATATTGAATAATTTATCAATTGCCTATTAAAATCAAAAATAAACATATCCTTGATTTTTAAATCTGTTCGTGACATTCGTCTTTCTCTCTCCTACTAACAATAGAGCTTAACAAAGACATACACATAGATTCATGACAAGCACCTACCTTCTTTTTTTTCTATTTCTCTATTAAATATAAATAGAGTTACAATAGGAAGACATTAGTATAACTTATCATAATGTATACTATTACTTATTTTCTATTGATAACTATTCTTAAGATTATTCTTATTGAATCAATCGATAATACGACAACTAAAGGTATTCATATTCAAATATTTGATAATATAGCTGAAATTACTCAGCCAATATCACCATTTGATTTACCAATAACATATTCGCAACAAGAATGGAATGATATACGATCAGATTCATTTCGACTTATTGGTAATTATGTTAATATTCAAGCACAAATGATTTCATTTAATCGTACATCATTAAATGGACAAAAAATACTTATTCAACGTAATTTACACAATGATACTTATACACCAGCAATACTAATTGATGAAACACAAAATTTAATACATGATTTAATTGATAATACATATTATACAATAACACCCGATCGTATAAGATATTTATCAATTCCATTTATACGAAAATATGTCGTTGATTTTATATTTGATACGAATCATGATGAACAACTTTATTTACGTTATTTACAAAATAATATTAAATGGAAAGTACGTTATGATCTTCTATTAGAAATAAATGATACTGATTCAATTTTACAAGCTTATGCTGATATACGAAATGATGGAAATTCTTTATTTATGATTGATTCAGCTGAATTAATTAGTGGTGATATTACTATTCAATCGTCATCATTTGGTTATAGTACATATGCTAGTTTTAATGGTGCCGGAGGTGTGGCCAATGACCAACAAGCTTTTGCTGTTACAAGTCCTGCTCCAATGATTGCTCCAATGATTGCTCCAAGTAAAGAATTAGCTGGTATTTATATATTTTCAATAAATGAAACATTTATTCTTGATCCTCAATCAAATTATATTCTTCCAATGTTTCGCCCAACTATTGAAATTGAACGTTATGGTTTAATAGACAAATATTTTCAACGTATCGATAATCGTGGTAATGCAAAACGTGCATATCGTCTTCGTGTACCCGATCGATATTTACCTAAAGGACAAGTTTTTGTACGTGAATCCGATCGTTTAGTTGGTGAATTATCATGGTCGGATTATTCATCAAATCAAACAAATGAATTTAATTTAGGTGAAGATCCTGATATACAATATTTTGAAACTATACAATTAAATTCACGTCGACAAGCATATGAAGCTAATGGTTATCGTTTTATATTATCAACATATACAATTAATTTATATTTAATTAATAATAAAAAACGTTCAATGAATATTGAATATCGTTTAAAATTTTCATCACAAGATAATTTAACATTGAAAGAAAATACAAATGATAGTTTATTACAAATTGATGGTTCAATTCTTAATGGAATATTTCAATTAAATGCAAATGATGAACAAGAATTTAAATTTACATTTGAAACACAATAAATATTTTGTGTAATTTCATTGATTTGTTAATTAAGTTCGTGACTTAGTCAATGTCGTTTTCTTTTTTTTTCTTTCTTTCTTTATCTAAGCTAAATCATTGATATTTTTTTTTCGATATATCCTCAAAAGCTTATTGTCAATAAAACGAGAAAATAACAATCAAGATTTAACTAAAGGCTAATCGTCTATCTTACCGGTTTTTGACGTTGTTCAAGTTCTTTACGAATTGCTTCAGGAGTTTTAGTTGGTGTAAGAAAATAATATTTCGATGGTTTAGCTCGTAGAATTCTTTTCGTTATAGCTGATCGTTTCTTCTTTCCACTAAGTTGTTCTTTCTTATTTTGTTCTGGATTAAATTCTGTTACTGCAGCAGCTAGACAGAAAAAAAAACATTTATATAAATTCTTTTATGTAATATTTAATTCTCACCATATTTATTTTCATTACTACCAAGAATTGCTATAATATCTGCTCCTTTAGCAATAACCATTCGCCATGGTTCAAGAATAAGATCATTTCGTTTAGAAATAAATGCTAAATTTTCATCGTACCAACCGAGAATTTCATCATTCGATGGATCAAGTAATGCTTTCGTGATAACTTGTGTTAGATATTCCATATATACTGGACGTTTACGAAATTTTTGAACTAGAAATAATTAGTATTGATTAAAAAATTTTCTAGTGTTTAATTATTTACTTTCTTTATAACTATGTTGAACTGATGTTGTATTAATAAAATTATAGACAACAGCTGCTTCTTCATTTCCACTAAGAGATGCTTGTGTATTACGTTCTTTTGCAACAAAAAGTTCCAATGCTTTAAGTTCTTCATTATGAATTTGTGCATAATAAGATTTTGGCATTATTGATTCAGCTATTTCATCTGATAATATTGTTGGTCCTTGTGTACCTACTGCTGATGTTTGATCACCTCTATTCATATCATTTGTTTGTATAGCAATAATTGTTGATAAAATTTTCTTTCCAATTTGATTTATTAAAATCGATAATTTTATTTGATTATTTTGTTGTAAATACTGACTTATATACGATGTCATACATGCAATCATATGATAGATATTTTCTTGTGTTATACGTAAACGTTGTTTTGTTATTTGTTGAGAAATTTCTTCGAGTACAGCTAAACATTTATCAAAAACATAATGTATAGATGGATAGAATATTTTATAAAATATTAATGGTGTTAATAAACCATATAAATAAATAACTGATTGTAATGTATATTGTGAATCATTAAGCCAACTAGAAAGTTCTAATGCAATTAATATTTGACTACATGCATGAATACGATTTATCTAAAGAAATAAAAATAAAAAAAAAAGATGTATATTTAATAAAATAAAGATTTACTTGATTAGCACGATTAGATGATGTGGGTGTTATCATATCACAATAGTAATGATTTTCTTTGATGAAAATTTCGAGGTTAATAAATATTGAATTAATAAATTTTTGTAATAATGATATTGAACTTTCAGCAACACATGCATAACGTAACTCATAAATAATCAATGGATTTTCTACAGATAATTCCCGTATTGAACTTTCAATTTTTGCTGGTGTTCGTACAAAATATGTCCAAATTGAATGAAAAGCTTTTTTAGCTACTGTATATTGTTTGATTTCATAGGAAACCTAAAATAATACATTGTGTATAAATAAATAAAACAAAAGATTGAACAAACTTGTGAAAGAAGACATCGAATAAATAATAAAGATATTGGATTTGCGGCTAATATTGGTTCTGTTGATTCACTAACACTTTCTCCAATTAATTGTCCATTAATATCATAAATAGCTAATGAAAATACATATTTAAGATCAGGATTAAGACCGGAAATTTTAACTGGTTTAATAAAACTTGCTGGAATCTAAATAAATAAAGATAATATATATATATCAGATTATGATAAATAAAGACAAACTTGTTGACCACTGCCTGGATGATTTGTATCAGCCATTCGAGCTTTTGCATTTGGACGATCAGCTGCTCGACAGAATATTCGATAAGTAGCAACCTTAAAATAATTTTGTGATTTTATCAAAAAAAAAAACAAATATAAATTATACTTTATTGGATAATGAACCAAAATCCGGTGCCATAACAAAAACAAAATCAGGTGCTCGCGCAATAATACATGGACGAGGAACAGTTGTATTTGATTGTTTTTCTGTTTTATGATTTTGATGATGCCAAAAATATAAACGATCTTCTTCTTCAGCTGCTAATAAATGTTTATAAGCTTTCTAAGAAGAAAAAAACTAATCGTAGAATTTTATAATTATATAACAAACCTGCATATATTCAGCTGCAAGATTTTCATCACGTCGTGTACTTGCATAAGCTGCACATAATAATGCTTTTTTATGTGAATTACCTCGAGCATCAGTTAAATATTGATCAATTGGACCTTTTTTGATTGCATCTAAATTCATATATATTTACAAAAAATACAAGAAGACAAAAAACAATATCTTACTAGCATCTGGTGTTTGTTCAAGTAAAGCAGCAATACGACAATAAACAAAATGTAATTCAGCATCAAGATCTTTAACAAGATTATCCATTAATTTACTTGTATGACCTTTTTCAAGTTGAAAAGGTTGTGTAGCAAGAAAACGTATTTGATTAAATGTATCTGTTTCATCTTCATCATCATTTGTTTTTGCTGACTAAATTAGATAAGAAAAAGAATTTTAATTCAAGAAGAAAAAATTCTGCGTACCCAATTTCGATCGAATAGAGATGAACCATCAGACCGAATAAGATTTGATCGTGCTTGAGCTAATATTTTTAATGATCGCGCTAGAAGATGTTCAGCAAAAAATACTAATGGAAAATAATATGATGATGTCAGTGTATTATTTTCAAGTGATGATGAATGAGGATCAGCACTATGTGATTGTTGTTTTCGATTTTTCGCATCTTTTATGATTGAATTATCAACTACAGTTTGTTGTCGTTTCAATTCATCCATAAAATCTTGTAATATTGGTTTGGCAGTATTATTTATTAATGAATCACGTAACTGATCGAAACGTTGTTTATAACAATTACTACGAATAGTTGCTGAAAATGAAATATAAGAAAATTTTTATTAAATAAACAATGAATTTTATTACCTTGAATCGAAGAACTCGGTTGAAGAAGAGTAAATAATATTTGACCAAGACAAAGTGAACATTCAGCATAAGCACTTGCATCAACAACAGCAAAATTAAAACGAGACATTATCTCATGAGTTTGAAAACATAAATGAATCCACTGAAAAATTGACAAAATTATATCGAAATTATTCATATTGAAAATCTTTACTTTAATATGATTATGATCAAGTCGTGTTAACCAACGAGAATTATCATTTGGTTCATTATAAAATCGTCTAAGAACAGCTCGACATTTATTCCAAAGTAATAAACTAACATCAATTAAAACATCGGGTTCAATTTTTTCATGCTAGAATAAGATAAACAAAAAGAAATGATATAATTTTTTTTTGTCGAAGAATACATACAATTTGAGGATCCATCAGTAATAAAAAACATAAATCTTCAAGTAATTCTTCTACAGTACGTTCATCATTTAATTTTTGATCAGCATTAGCTTGACTATCTGTACTAGATAGACTTCGTGTACCTTTAGCTGTATCAATTAAATCTCTAATAGCTTTTGGTGTTTTTAATTTTTCTTTAACATTTTCTGGACTTTTCTTACGAACAACTTCTTTTACTTTCGATGGACTTTTACCACGTTGTTTTTTCGTATCAGTTTCTTTTGTATTTTTAACAGCTCGTGTATTTTTTAGATTTTGTGCAATTTTACGATCTCTATCACATTGTTCAATTTCATAAAGAATTTGCAATAAAGCAAGTACTGATGTTTGACTACCACCAGCTTGATCAACAAGATCACTAATCGGTTCCATCATTGATTCAAATACATCATTAACTTGATAATTAAATGCTAGTTTAAATAATTGAATTGCATATGACAGAGGTATAACATATTGTCCTAAAAGAATTCGAATTTTTTATTTAAAAACAAAACAATCTATTGAACTAACCAGTAACAGCTAACTCAAGTAAATTATTATTTTCTTTCAAAGTTATATTTGGATATAAACTATTCATATTTGCTCCTGAATTTTGATCAAGATTTGCATGTTTAACTTGTAAAATATATTGTGCAGCATAAAATAATTCAGCTGTAACATCAAGTAATTCGATTTCTTGTTCACTTGCTGGACTAGTTAATAATAAACGTCGATTACTATCCGAAAGTGCTTGAAGAATGGCTAAAAATTGTGCACAACGACAATCAAACATATCACCTAATAATTTTTCTGTTAATGTTCTTGGCCATGCACCACTAATATCTTTATAATTTTGACGAACTTTTGGTCGAAGTATTCCTTTCGCTTTTCGACGACTTTCAAATACTGTACGTTTAAATAACATTGTAGCTATTTTAATTGTAGCATGTCGAAAAGAATTTTCATATTGACATTTATCACCTTCAATACTCATGGATTGTAATTCATGAAGATTTTTAAATTGTTCTAATGCACGACGAGCAAAATTCTAAATGAGAAGAAATTTTTATTCAATAATGAATATTGTTATACATACTTCTCCAGCAATTGCTCTCTAAATAATATATAAAACAAAATCAAATTATTCATATATTTAATTATCTAAGTTTTCTTACTTCACCATCAGGTGCTATTCGACTATCATAAAATGCTTCACATGCTGAACAATAAAGTGTTGATCGCCATGGTAAATATGCTATAGATAATAATGGTAAACACATTTCTGTACTAACAGCAGCCCATACAAGATATTCAACAACCTGTAACGAATAACCCAATGTCATTAAATAACGACCCATTTTATATAAATAAATTGTTCCATTATAGACAAGCCACGACCATCGATCATCTTTCAATGCTAAATTCATTAATAATCGAATAAATGAAAGTGCTACTAAACATCGATCAAGTGTTTCATCTAATTGTACTTTCGGATCTTGTTCAATAGATAAATAGAATAAACAAAGAGCACAACCCATTAAAGCTTGAAACTATAAATAAAATAGTTAAAATTAGATATATATATATTTGTAAAATTTACAGATATATCAGCAGTAATATCAGCTAATCCAAGTGGAAAAAATCGTTCTTCAATTTGATCTGTTGTTTGAAAATCTTGCATATGAAATGCACCAAACTCATTTAAATATCTTTGATAACATTGAAATAATGCAAGATTATATTTCTTTAAATTAAAATAAATTTATTTATTTATTTATTATTATTTATAGAGAACTTACTTCATGTGCAACAAGAAATTCTCCAAGATGCATTAATTTTTCACAATATAATCGAACAGATACTCTCGGTTGAAAGCTACTCCATAACTGAAATAATGTTTCTGATCTAGAAAAAATTTATTTATTTAACTTTCAAAAAGAATTATTATACGTACAAACGACCATCAATTGTATCATTTAATTTTTGTTGTTTTGCAACATAGTTTTTAAAATCCGAAATTTGACTTTCAAAACTTTGTAAAACTGGATTTTTACTATCATCAATATAGGAATAATATGCTGCTGTATTTGTTTTTATTGAACGTTCAACTACTTTTGTACGTAAACTAGCTGCCATTCTTTAGTTTTTGGACAAATCGTACTTGAATTAAGTAAGAAAAGAAATTTTCACTATGAACAAGATACCATTTTAGATTGAAGAAACGAAGGAAAGACCTTTATTCATTAGAAAATAAAAATCATTCGTTAGATGTCGCATAGTTTTGTTTAATGTTATTCTATTTATATATTAAAAATCAATCTGATTGTTTTTTTGCCAGGACAACAATTATTTTCTTCAGACTGTTTGATGGTTGACATAGCTCGTGTTTTTTCGCCTGTGGTCGTCTTAGATAGTAGTGAAGCTCGACCAAAATCTACCGATCGTATTCGAAGTGCATCAGATAAACGAATATCAAGTGCTGATACACATCGAATATCGCGTATATCATCAGCTGTATCAACTATTGAAAATAATAATGGTGCTCATGGACGATATGGAACAAATGAAGAAAGTGAATTACAAGAATTAGAAGATAAAATTAAACAGGAATTAATTACTCGTAAATAGAATTGTCTATTATGAGATATAGAAATAAATATATTGTTTTTTGCATAGCTGTAACTGGTATTAATTTATGTGGATTGATTAATGACAAAATATCTAATCTTGATCGAGCATTAAAAGAAGTTGGAGCATCATCAGATTATGGTAAAAAGAAAACATCACCGATTGCGGAAAAACTTCGAACTGAAGCAATTCGAAATGGTTTGATTTTATTTTTTGAAAATAAATTTCAAATTAATAGTTTATTAAAAGGACAATCAAGACAGCAAGTACAACAGTTTGCAACTATGCTTACTACAAAAGCTGCTGAAGATCAAGCTATAGCAACACTGAAATCGAAAGTAATTAAATCATATATATCTATAGAGTACATCTTCTATAATTTTTATATTATACAGCAAGATGATAATGCTCCACCAGAACAATCTCGTACAACATTATTAGAAGTTTTTAAATATCCAGGTTTTGATGAAAATCAACTCACTCCATTACCATTTCATGTTTCACTCGAGAGACAAATTATGAGACATATACTTTCACAACAATATACACATTTACAACAAGTAAAAAAATAATTTCAAAAGTATATCTTATATTTTTGATTTTTATAGGCACCCTATATTAAATCATTAATTCAACTTTATCATTCAGCACCGACAAAAGCATTGATTTTAGTAGGTTTTTTCGACTATCGCTATATTATATTTTATACATCGCTTTTGTTTAGGATATATTTTGGTGGATATTTCTTGATAATTATCAAAATCAACCTGAGACACAAAAGAAATTACTTAATCGAGCTTCAAATAATTATATATCTCTTCTTATGATGGAAATTGATTTACGCTATCGTGACAAATCTTTTCAAGTTCTTATTCTAGTTATGTATTCTCTTAATTTTTATGATTTTTTTCTTCTTAGGTTTATCCTTCACTTTTAGCTGAAACAGTTTTTGCATGTTTCAAGATATGTTTTCCAATATCCATTAAACGAATGCCTGCTGATACTGATGCAGCAAAAAAAGCCAAAGATAGAAGTGGAAATCTTTCATCAGATTTAGAAAATTCATCAGATAATTTTGATCCACCCATAAAAGAAATCGTTAATTTAGATCAATTTAAAAATTCTATTGCAAATGTTTGTCAATTATGGTTAGGTGGTCTTCCAGCACCTCCTCGTCGTTATGAACAATGGCGATCAAAAATTGTTCAACAAGAAAAAATATCCTTTGGACAATCAGCAACAACAACTCCAACAACACATGAATCTGGAATGAATTCAAATGATGAAAATACTTCTTCTAATTCTCATCATCTATCATTCGAACAAAAGAAACATAAAGAACCACAAGAACGTTTAGCAGAATTCTATAAACATACAAATGATCCATTACCTGAGTAAGTAGAATATAAATCATACGAACATTATTTGAATTTTATAAAAAAAAAATATATTTTTTTAAAAATCTAATAATCATATTTAGATACTACGAAAGAAAATCAGGTTTGATACTATTATTTATTATACTTCCTCTTATTCTGTGCATGATTGAAATATTCTATTAGTTCTTCTTAAGCTATAAAACTTATCTAACTTTCAATATAATTATTGTTTTTTCGTATATATAGTCGACGTGTTCTTTATGAAGATTATCGTTTTAATTTAAATGGTAATTCACCATTAGCAGAAAATTATTTACGTACAAGTCATATGTTAAAAAAAGCTGGTACACAATTATTTATATCACATCCTCAAATAAGTCAAGTTCCAACAGTTAATGCTGAAACATATGATAAAGAAATCAAACGAACAGCACAATTCTGTCGAATTGTACGAGCTCAAAAGCATAAGTTTGTTCAATTATTAGAAAAAATTATTTAAAAATTATATAAAAAATTCAAATAGAGTACGAGCTGAAGAAGAACATCATCGAAAACTTGTCAAAGAACATGTAGCAAAATTAAAAGAACGAGATGATCTTCAAAAACAAGAAAAACAAGCTTTACTTTATCGACGAAAAATGATGATGGTAAGAATTTTTAATTTCTTCTTCTATTGATTAAAAAAAACTAATATTATTCTAGAATTTTCATAACGATGAATTTGAAACAATGTCTCAATTTTCAGTCAAATCTCACGAATAAAATTAACTATTTTTCTCGATTAATTTATTATATATTTTTCTTAGCAAGAAATGAATAGAATTTCGATTCAAATATGATCTTGTTTAAGATTGATACTTTCGTACTATTTTTTTATAATACATTATGCACAAAATATTCAAGCAACCCACGAAGTTCTAAATGAATTTAATTTAAATTTATGAAATTGTACAACTTGTTTTGCGTCCGGCGATATTTCGTTGTGGTTTTACTTCTGGATGAGTTAATTTAACTTTTTTTTCATCTAATTGATCAAACCATTGATCGACTGAACCCATTAAAAGTTTAACAACATAATCACCGAAACTAAATGGAAAATGTTTTCCTTGTACAGCTAAGACTTCTGCTCGTTCACTAGGATAATCATCAAGAACATCAACATAAGGAATTTTTTTATCAAACTGATTTAAATAAGCAACTGATGAATGATCATCAGTACATGCAATAAATGTAACATATATTCGATCGATTGCTGGATATCTTTCATGACGTAAAACTTTTTCTAAAGCATTAAGATCGTTTTGTCCATTTTCATCCGTTGGTAAACCATCTGTGGCTATTAAAATTAATAATTTACGATCATGAACACGGGAACGTTTTAAATTTAATACATAACTTAATACACGCGTCAGTGGTGTTGGACCATTGGGTAATATAGAAAATGTTTCATTTAATTGAGATGAATCCACAACATGTAAAAGTGGTTGTCGATTAAGAAAATAAATATCAATACCATCAGGATCTAATGTTGAAGCTAGATCAATAACCATTGATACAGTTTGTTTAAGTTCATCCCAACGTGTTGGTAATTGATCAAATGGTGATAAATTTTGTTGATTATGACTTAAAACTGGTGTACGCATTGATGAACTATCATCAAGTATCATAGCGATTTCAAAACCTTCGAGTGCACGAAGACGAAATGCAAAATCATAATTAATATTATATTTAACAATAAGATGTTTAAATCTTTCTAAACGTGTTTCATATTGATAGACTACTGGTGGTTGTTGATCCATTGTTTTTGTTAATCAATATAATAAATGTTTTCTTTTTTTTTCTTGTTTTTTATCTATGACACATATTTACGCATATATACAACTAAAATGGACATAGACAATGAAAAGAGCATATAATTTAACTAACGAACGATTAACATTATATTATTTATTGACAATAGTTATTTTAATCCTTGTCATAAGGATTATCATAAAAGTATCAAGGGATACATATATAAAATTTGATAATAGTATCGGACTAGAGAAAAAAAACATTTTTCATTTTTCTTTCTTATTATTACTGAATAGAAAAGGAAAATTCCTTTTAAACTATGACGTATTATATATACAACATGCATTGAATTCAACGTATACTTCATTCATTCTATCATGTTATTCAAGTATCTAGACAATCATTTAAATAACAATAGGGCAAAGTAGTAGTTATGTTGTCATTGTCCTTTTTATATATGTCAATGTCAAATCAATTGATTCATAAACAGAAACAAAAATAAAACGTCAATCATTATTCATAAATAAACTCTCTAATATCCCTATAAAACACCTTAAATAAATAATAACTATTGTGAAAAAATTTAATCCAATATTATTAGTATAAAACTAATCACGTTATTGCCATATATATGATCCATCGATATTGTTATTAGAAAATAATATTTTTAAAAGTACTTTTAACAAATGAGATTCTTGTAAGGATGCATTTATGATTTTATCATAGAGTAAAAATAATTTAACAAATTTTTTTCTTTCTGTTGAATGCGCAAATGAATACTGATGTTTTTTAAAACTATATGACCTTCATTTTTTTTTATAAAAAAAATAAGTTTTCATCGAGTGCAAGGATAATTTTCTTGATTATAAAATAGAAAAATCAAAGTTTGATTTGTTAAAACCATAATAAATAAAATAATTTTTTATTTCGAAGCAGCAATTAATTGTTGATTGACTTGTGCTAGTTTTGGACTATCAATATATGCTTCACAAGCATAACAAAAAAATGAATGATCCGATAAACTTAAACAAATATTATGGCCAGTATTTTGATGATGCGTTAACATATGTTTTTCCTGATAACGAGAACAACCAATCTAAAAATTGAAATTTATTTATTTTTTATTCTTTTTAATTTCCATAACTTACATGTTGACAGTTTTCTTCTAAACAAACCCAATTCTCCTGTGTTGCACCGCAATCAGTACAAGGTGGTTGTCGTCCATTTACACGATGAGCTGATTGTGGTAATGTATAATTTCGATCAGCCAAATGTTTACAATCTGTTTTCGGTACGATAGCAAATGGCTAAAAGAAAAACATCGTTATTGAAAAAAATTTATTTATTTTTTTACTTACACCAATCAACTTTTCATCATTTATTTGATCAACTGTTGTTGGATTTGTTGACATTTTATTTTTATCTTGAAGAAAGTATTTTTGGATACGTTTATATAAGTATATATATTTATATATATATGTGGCAGTCTTCCTCTACGATGGTGAAAGAACGGGAAAAAACCAACTATGACTTCATTATATTCCTTTTTCTTTTTATTTTAATCGACAAACACAGAAAAATAAGAAAGAAAAATTGAAAGAACCACGCATATGTTTTTCTTTTAATGAAACACTGATTTATACCAACAAACACACTATTATAAATGATTATAATATCTTGATCTGTCATAATTTACCAAATAGCTAATTTATATGAAGAAATTTTCCTTGTTTTTTTTTCTTTCGGGAAATAACATATATATATATAACAAAAAATATTAATAATAATACCAATACCAATTAATACATGACTTGAAATATTTTATGTATAGTTAGTTCTCATAAATATATATATATCTAATATCCTGAACCACCTAGAATAGAAATAAAATAATGATTCAATAAAAAAATGTTTTTTTAAAAAATATACTTCTTGAACGACTACGACGATTATATCTTGATCTTGATGATGAACGAGATGAACGACGATGTATACTATCAGGTTTTTTTCGTCGATTATTCAATGCTGCATAACGTGGTGAATCAAAATAAAGTTCAACATAACGACTACCTATATTTACAAAAATATATTTTTTCTATAAAATTTTACAGATATTTTTTTAAAGCTTACCCATATATTTACGATCACATTTCATTGCTTCATCGACGTCTTCAAGAGAAGAAAAATAGAGATAACCATCACCATTTGGTCGTTTCATACGTCGATCTTGTACAATTTCAATTCGAATGGGTTGACAAGATGATGGAAAGAACTAAATATAAATTTTTTGTTTGTTTTACAAATTATTTCGATTTCTATACCTTTCGAACATCTTCTTCAACAACAGTATAAGGCATACCACGAATTTTAACAAGATGTTCTCCACTTCGAGGTGATGTACGACGTACTGGACTTCTACTACGACTTCGACGACGATAACTATTATTATTATTAAATGAACCTATTGAAGTATGAACAAAAAAAAACAATTTCAATATAAAATAATCCATCAAGTAAAGATATTTAAATTTACGTGGATGCATATTTCTTGGTGGAGCTAAACAAAAACAAAAACATTTTTAATATAAATATTTAGGATGACAATTTTCTTACGACGTGAACGTGGTGGAGGTGAAACTGATGGTGAATGACGACGTTTTATTTCACGTTGACGATAATCTATTGTAAAAAATAAATAATTAAATAGATTAATATTCTATACTAATAAATACCTCGACTTGTCGATCGTGACCGTTGTCGACTTCGACTTCGACTACGCGAAGCTCTTTGAACAATATTATTAGTATCAGTATTATCTTTTTTTATATTATTAACAATAATATTAGTATCATTCGTATCTATTTTAGTATCATCATCCTCATCATCACCAACAAATTGTTTCGCATTTGAACGAGCATCATTCAAAATTCGTTTTTTTGCTTCCTCATATGTTGATGGAAATAATTCGATATATCTATACGAAAGAAAAAAAGATATTATTAATAAATTGTATATTAAATTCAAAACAATTAACATGAAAAACTATAAATATACATATATCTATATAAACATATGAAAGCACACATATCGCACATACTATGAGAAATATGTATTTTATTATTTCTACCTGACAATATAAATCTGGTAACACCATTGATCAGTACACCTCACCTCTCACCTAATCCTCCCTTTATTTTTCTTTTCATTAATTAAATCTGCTGCTTCTAATTCTTTTGCATATTTATTAAAGGACCATATCCAATCGAACCTGTGTTGAATACGTTTTTGATCATGGGTATCAATTGCTTTGTAAGCATTAGTCATATTAACAAACGCGACAAAACCATCACCCAATGCTTGATCTGCCATATCTCGTGTTATATAAATACCATTTCTTGCTATTTCAATATCTAAATATAACAGAAGTTATTATAGAAAAAACCATCTGTCGTTTTTAAACATACTCTCGAAAAAATTTTGTACTTCACCCATAGTACAAGAAAATGGAAGACCACTCATACGAATGACAGGTTCAGACCATGTCACCTGACCTTTATGTTTCACATGAAAATTAAATTCATAATCAGTAGTGCGAAAAACTAAATGACATAACACAAAAAAATCAACTTATTATTCGATCAATTTTTTTATTTTACCTTCAACATATTTTTTATCTAAATATACACCTGATTTTTTTAATGCATCAGTTACATCGACTTCTGATTCTAATTCAACAAAACATTCATTCGATGGATTATCATTATCTTCAAATAAATGAATAGTCGTAATATGACATGCTAACAAAAAGAATAGAAAATAGTTTAAGTAAATAAATATCAAATATTTAACATACGCTGAAGAAATCTTTTTATATCATCTTTAGTTGTTGAATATGGAATACCACTAAGTTTAACTAAATAATCATGATGACGTGATGATTTACTATTACTTCGATCATCTGATTCATCTCGTTCTTCACTCATTCTAATTAATTAGAGTATACAATATTGATATCAACAAATATAAGTATCTAAAAACAGAAGAAAATACGATCTTTTTTTAAATTTTATAGAAATTATTTATATAGCTAAAATTTAATGGTAATAAAGAAATTTAATCATTTATGAAGTCAATCGAATGATAAAATAATGTGGTTTTTTTTACATCTAGCCTCTTTTAACTCGACTGATAAAATCAATCCAATCGTAAACTAGCGCTACAATTCGTCAGCTAGCGACTTTTAAATATAGATTATATCTTTAAGAAAAAATAGACACAAGTAATATTCAATGATAAACTATACTTCACAAAAATTAATAGTATGTCTATGAAATTTGTACAGATGTACTTCGTGGATAGATATCATTTTGAGACTAATTGTTATTTAAGAATGATATGTATGAATAAATTTTTTTTTTCTTTTACTTTAAAACTCGACAAACATAATTGATAAAAAGAAATAATTACAAAATAATTCGAATAATAAATGAACAAGTCACACACACATATTACAAATGAGATTTCTTTTCAGTCTTTTTTCTTTGTTGTTGTTGTCTGATACAATTTGTACCATATGGATATTGCACCGAGATAGAATATAAGATGGACATTGCATTTGAGAGAAGAAAAAAAGAACAGAAAAGGAACCGGTTAAAAGAATTTTTTGTTATATGGAATGAATATGGAAGAAATAGAATTGTAAATTATGGCGAGAGACCTTCATAAGTTTCACGATGAACATCCGGTAAAGAATTAAAAACATGTGGTTCATGTCGTTTAATATAGTGTACAGCATTCAAATGTATTTGATTAACTTCTTGAATTGATGGAATCAATTGAAGTATATCAAGAAACATATTTGGTTCATCTATTTTAAAAAAGAAAATTATTTAAAAGAAAAAAAAATTTATTAAATTTACTTGGATGATGACGACGCAAATGTCTATATAAAACTTGCATTAATTTAGCTTCAATTTGACCAACTGTTTGTTTATCACAAAGATCTGGTCGTTCTGGATTCATAAGTAAAAGTGCATTAAATAATGCAATATCACTATCAGTCCATCGAAGATGACTTGCTTTCATTCCCAAATCAAATATTTCTAACATAATAACACCTAAAGTTTTTATTGTTTTTATAAAATCTCTATCCATATAAGCTGAAAAATCAGGTGTAAGCATTAATTTTTGTTCAGCATCAAATAAAGTAAACCAACTAACAAGAATAGTTTCAAAAGCACCTAAAAATGAAAATTATTTTCTAATCATTTCTGTTTTTGTTTGAACATACCATGACGAAATAAACAAATTTGATCATCTTGAGAAATTTGTTGAAAAAATGTATAGTATTTAAATGTTCTTAAAATACTTTCAAATGGAAAACTTAATTGCCAATTAGCCCATACTAATGATGGATCACAATTAAGATCATCACTCTATAACAATAAAGAAAAGAAAGATAAGCTTATATTTAAATAATATCAATATTGATTTTACCACTGAATCAGCCCATATTGGTGGATTTTCTTCAATTTTTATTTGTATTCTTTCAAATGTACATATACAAAATTGTAAATGTGCACTAATAATAACTTGTGCTATATGATCCATTTCTTTTGATTCAATATCAGTTAATAATTTTTCTTGATATAATAACATGGATGTTATTTTTCGTACAACTTCACGATGTATATCTGATGATAATGATTGACGTTGTTGAAAAAGACAATCAGGAAATGATGATGTTGTTGATGATGTTGATGAATTGGGTGTTTCAATAGTAACGGATGGTGCACGATAAGGTGAGGATAATATATTTGATGTTGTTGAACTAACAGAATCAATACGATTTGTTGGTGAAGATTGTTTATTATATTCTTCAGGTGATATTTGTTGTTTAATAGATATTTCATTGGAATATTTTTGTTGATGACGTTGAATTTCTTGTAAACGAGCTAATGCTGTTATTTTTGTTGGTGATGATGTTGTTGTTGTTGTTGTCGTTATAAAATTGTGTTCTTTTTCATTTTTAATAGTATTTATTGTATCAGAACGTGGTCGTTTTGGTCTACGACCTAATCGTGATGCTTCACGACTCATACCAACATCGAAACATTTTTTTAATCGACAATATTGACATGAATTTCGACTAAATGGAGTTATTTCACAATTACCTGTATTGTTACAACGATGTGACATTCCTTGAGTTATACATCGACGAAAAAAACCCTATGAATAATTGATAATAAAATAAAACTGTTTAGATTAAGAACATATTTTACCTTGCAACCTTCACATGAATTAACACCATAATGAAAACCACTTGCTTCATCACCACATACTAAACATGGAACATGTACAGTTATTGACCCAGGAATTTTTCCACCATTTGCTTTTATTAATGAAGCCATTGTATTATGATTAGCATTATTTTCTAAGAATTGTTTTTGTTCAAGAGTTGGTTCAGTTTTAATTGAAGTTGTTAGTGGTGGTGGTGCTGGAGATGATTTCGATCGATTTATATCATGTGATTGTGGTGAATGAAAATCTTCTTTTCCATTAAGATGATGCGTGGTTTCAATAAGATTTGTTGTTGATTGTGGTAAATAATGATGGTGATGTATAATTGCTGTTGGTGTTGGTTGATCATCTTCTGTATTTCGACATGTTGTTTCAATATCATTACAAACATTTTGTAGATCAGGAGTTTTATTATAATGTGTAAAACGTTGTTTAGGTTTATATGGATGATGATATGAATGAGCTGTTTCAATCATTGGATGATGATGAATATTAAAATCGTCGTAAACAGTCTGCTGTTGTTGTTGATGATGATGTTGTTGTTGTGGATAACCTATTTGTTTGATAAAATAAGTGCGATATGGTAGTGAGTGAGTGAGAAAACGAAAGAGGGAGAGAGAGAGATATAGAGAAAAGATCGAATTTTTTTCCTTTCCTATATATATATTTTCTCAACGGTTTGCTGACCTTGAAGTTCAACATAATTTTTTGCATACATTCTCTTTCTCTCTTATTCATGATTGAGTAATCATTCAGTCGATGCGATCAATGACCTCGATCCACTCGAACAATTAGAATATGCGTGAGAGTCACCGGTCAGCTAATGATGTAATATCTATTCACACATACATTTATTTCCGTTCTGAACCTATACTATCATCACATTATGCTAATACATCATATTTTTCTTTATCTTAATGAAATAATGTTTCCAACATATGTAAAAGTATATTTTTCTTTAAAAACATACCATTGTTGCCAGCATTCGTCCAGCAATCGAACCACATTTCGTTCATCATTGTTCTTTGTGTGCATATGTGTCACCCAAGTGGTACACTCCTCCTAATGGTCAAACACTCTTTGGTGTTGCCTCTATATTCTTATTCGGGTTGGTTTGTTTGACCAGTGTACTTCCTTCCTTCCTTCCTCATCCTATCGGATATAGTGCGATTGACCAACACCATCGATTGCTGTCCTTTCTTCATGTCCTTGAGAGTGAGGTCAAGTAACGAACACGAACTACACGAAAGCAATAGAAGAGGAGAGAGAGAGGGAGTAATCATATATACGAGTGAACAAATGAGTGAGTTATTTAATGAGTGTGCCCTATATCAGCTTTGATAATTTAAGCACAACTGGGTAGGAACGATGATGATCGACAGAACGAATAGACGACCTTGATGTGATCCGAAAAATAATAAATGATTAGTTGTGATAGAGAGAAAAGAAAAGGAAAGATTGAACTATTATTTCCACACAATTTGCCAACATACATATATATATATGTACATGAATAGATCAATGTGAATATCTTCACATTATGTAAAAAATTTATGACAAGTAGCGATCAAATAATATTATAAAAGAAATGTTAAGTTTGTTTGATGACATTTTTGATATAATAATTAATGATTGTTTTGAAACAAAAATAAGAAGAATACCTAACATCTCTTCATATAATGACCTGATTGATCAATCATAAAATGATCAAAGATATGCGCTATCGAACTGTATAATTTTATATTTTTTTTCTTAGAATAATATTTTTTTGCATCTTATACTTATTACGAAAAGATATAATATTCATCTCTTTCTTTTATAAGATATTTAATAGATTACAAATTATACATAGACAGGAGGACCTTGTCGTTTTTGTATTTGATGAACACCACTCTGTTCATGTTCTCGATTTGTTGTTGTCGTTGGATAGGAAATTGATGATGTTTGATTTTCAGTATTTATTTGTTTACCAAACCATGGATGTTTTTGTACAAGTTCAATAGGCCATCGTTGTGTTACTTCAGGTTGAAGCATACGTAAAATAAGATCTTGTACTTCTGATGAACCTTCATTACTTAAACGAAGACCGCCTTTTGTTATTTGTGCTTCAATCATTTTCTTAATATCGGAATCATCAAAAGGCATTTTTGAATAAATCTATTTAAGAAAAACAACAATAACAACAGGATGTAACGAGTAAAGAAAACTATAAAAAGATTCTTAACCATAATGTATAGTACACATCCTGCTGACCAAATATCATAAAGTTTTGGATTACTAAATAGAAACAAACAAATATATCGACTATCAAAAATATATTATTTGTTAAATATACTATTCTTGACCACGAAGAATTTCTGGTGCTGCATACGCAGCTGAACCACAAAATGTTCGACTTAGAATCTTTTTTTCAATTGTATTCTTTCTATTATCTATAGGAGAAGGATCAACTAGATAGAATAAAATAATATATGATTATAAAATAAAATTATAACAAACCACAATAACGAGAGAATCCAAAATCGGCTAATTCTATAAGGAAAAAAAGATTGAATGATAAAATTTCAATATATTCTTATTGAATTTACTAATTCGTAAATGATTATCGAGTAAAAGATTTTCACATCTAATATGAAAATTCATGGTAATAAACTATATATTTTACAATAGTTTTACTTTAAATCTCGATGACATATATTTCGAAAATCTTGAATAATGCAAAATTACAATATTTGATCGAATAATAGAAAGAAAAATTCTTACGAATATAATAAATTGCATCACATAATTCACGAAACATACGTTTAGCTACTAATTCTTGTAGACGAGTTGTTTTCTAGAAGCTAAATAACGTCTAATATATCATTCTTCATATGATTTGAACTTTTTTACTTACATTAATATAATCAAGAAGATCTCCATTAGATGCATATTCCATAACAATTAAGGTAAGAGATTTTGTTTCAAGAATATGTGCTACCTATTTCAAGCGATAATTTACGTGATTTTATTGATGATTAAATTTTTACTTTGACAATATTTGAATGATCTAATGTTCGAATAATATCAAGTTCACGTGGTAAAAATTTGGAAACAAAATCCGAAGGAGCTTTGTCACGATCGATTATTTTCACTGCAAACTCTTTATTATCAATCTCACGTATACATCGTCTATACTCAAATAAAGAATAGAAATTTTAATTAAAATTTATAATATTTTACTTGACTTTAGCATAGGAACCAGTACCAATCAATTTATCATTTACACGAAATCCTAATTGAAGAAGTGATTGTTGAGCTTCACTACCCATTGAATAATTTTTTGTACTATTCGATGAATAAAGTTTCGATTTTGTTTGTTGTTGTTGTTGTTGTTGTCCTTGAGCAACAAGTTTAGGATTTTTTAAACCTTTAAGATCTTGTTTTGTATTGATTAATGAAACAGAATCGCTCATATTCGTAATTGATAATAGTTCGATACAATATTTAATCAATATACATTGCGGTATTATATAATGAATGTAAAAGAAAAATTAATTAGTTAGTTATGATTTTTTGTACGAATTTTGTAGATACGCCGAAGAATACGAAGTTTTAATTAACAGAAGAGATGAAGTTCTATAAAGTATTCGAAATTTCGCAAATTATCGAACCGAAAAGCATGCGCAAGCATATCACCATATACTTTTCGTTTACATACAAATATTAAAAGTTGACATGGAAACAGAATTACAATAAATATAAATAGTTTATAGTATTTTTTCTTTAATTCTACGCATAAAATATTTAATCACTAATATAATATGACTTTTTATATATCAATCAAACTACCGAAGAGTGTAAATGAAGAAATAATAACTTAGGTATGTCATATACTCTTAATAATACAAAAGAAATGAATCATTCGAAATCTTAAAATTTTTCTATATGACTCAGATAGAAGGCAAATTACTCTCTAGAGATAATTTGAATTAATAATTTTATACAATAGATTTCTATGAAACAAAATTATGATTAAAGTAAATAAATACTTTTATTAGAAATTGAATTTACTCAGAGATTTTATTAATAAAAAATACAAATATTTACTAGATTTTTATAGAAATGTTTTTTTAAATAATATTCTTATGTACTCATAGAACAAATATAATACTTTGGTTATATTTTAATTGAATATAAATATTTCGTTATAAGTCAGTACGGTATCATAAGTAATACATACTTCATTATCTCAAAGACGTTCTAAAATTTCAATGGTATTTAGTTTAGATAATAATCTAAACATAAATATTTATTAATGAAAATATCTAAGGATCGATATGTCAAATCTTTTTTTTTATTCCTAAATAATTACATATGTATTCATATTCATTTAGAATGATTCAACATATGTCTTGAAAAACACATCGATCATTGATAAAAGTCATCATGCTTTGTGTGTACCCACATGTACATTAATAAAGGATTAGCAGAATCTATGAATGTATATACTGCTCTTTACATACAACAAGGACTTTTTTTGTACATTGTTTTTTTTTATTACGCTTTGATAACAACAAGTAATCATGATGGCAAGCCAATTCATCGTTTCTTATTTTCTTCTAGTGATTCATATACAGTCATTTCTTTTTACGCACATAACTCTAATAGCTTCATTCCTTTCTTTCTATATGTGAAGTGAATAATCATGGCAACACCATAAAAAAGACATATATATAAGTTGATTCTTTCAGTCTATATTTACTATTCTATTTGACGAGTATACTTTCACGAACAGATTCGTTTCTTCAACTAAGGTCGATAAGTAAACTTAAGCTTTGCAAATTTCAAGAAAATGTCTCACGGAAATCTTCAAGTTACTGTTGTCGAAGGTCGCAATCTTAAAGACAAAGATACTTTTGGTCAAAATGATGCATATATTGAATTATATATGGACAAAGATTATAAACAACGAACATCAACTATTAAGGATACCAATTCACCAGCATGGAATGAAACATTTAACTTGTAAGTCACGAAATTTTATTTTTCTTATTATAATTTTAATATATTTTCTTTTATTTAATTAGTAATTTATTAAAAGGACAAGATAATTTACATATTCATGTCTATGATGAAGATGTAGTAGGAAAAGATTCAATTGGTTCAGCTAAAGTTAGTTTAAAAAAAATTCAACAAGCTGGTGGACATTTAGATGAATGGGTTAAATTACCAGCTCATCTTGGTCTTGGTTCACATGGTGAAATTCATCTTGTTTTACGTCTTTCATAAGCAGTAAAACAATAGTCATACAATCAAGCAAAAAAACTGATGGTACAATAGAATGTTTTAGTTGATATTTTTTTTTATTATTGTTGCTTGCATATTTTAACTTTTCATATATCTTTTGCTAATACCAAAAAAACATATATTTAAAACTTCGAAATAAAGTTTAAAAAAATATCAAATATAAGTCGTCAATGTTGTCTTTGTAGGTTAAGCATATTTCTAGTCATAAGATACACGCGGCGATGGAGGGTTAAACAACAAGAAGAAAAATAACATATAGATGTGTTTGAAGAGGGGTAAATAATAGAACAGAACGGAAAAATTTGCCAGGCTCGTCAAGCAAAGAAAAAAAAGAGGTGGGGCAACACAACGGGAGGATCATAGTCTTTTTCTTTCGAACGGTCACATCACGCGCTGATAAGTGTAAGATAGGTTGCAAAGATATTATAATCAAGGTTTAATAAAAAAAAAACAGTAGAAACTATTCATTGAATATGTTGTCGAAACTTGTATCGAAACAAATAATCAATCATGGACTTCGTCTAACAACACGTGCTGCGTCAGCATCTGCACAACCAAAACTAGTTATCGACCGAAAACCTCCAGTGAAATTTCAAAAAGTTAGTTAGTTTATAAAATAAATAAATATCAAATAATTTATTTTATATTTTTATTTCATTTTCTCTAGCTTTTTATTAATAATGAATTTGTTGATGCATCAAGTGGAAGTACATTTGAAGTTATTAATCCAGCTACAGGTGATGTTATCACCGAAGTTGCTGATGCTTCAGAAGTATGATTTATTGAAAATTATTTTTTGTTTATTAATTTATATGAATTCAATTTTATAAAAAATAGAAAGACGTTGATCGAGCTGTAAAAGCTGCCAAAGATGCTTTTCGACTTGGTTCCGAATGGCGTCGTATGGTTAGTCTGACATATTTTATTATGAAGAGTGAAAGAAAAAATTAACTTAAACTTTGTTTAGGATCCTGCTGCACGTGGTCAACTCCTTTACAAACTTGCTGATCTTATGGAACGTGATCGAGCTTATCTTGCAGCTTTGGAAACATTAAATAATGGCAAACCGTTCAAAGATTCATATAATGTTGATATACCACATTGCATTTCAGTTCTTCGGTATAATAATTAATATTAATTTTTTTTTTAAATATCTTCATATATATAGATATTATGCTGGATGGCCTGATAAGATGAATGGAAAAGTTTTACCTGTTGCTGGTGATTTCTTTTCATATACACGACGTGAACCTGTTGGTGTTGTTGGTCAAATTATTCCAGTAATAGAATAATTTCATAATTAATTTTTGATATCTATTTTAATTTATTTCAGTGGAATTTTCCAATGATTTTACTCTGTTGGAAAATTGGTCCCTCAGTTGCTACTGGTTGTACAACAGTCATTAAACTTGATGAACATACACCTTTAACTGGACTTTATACAGCAAAATTAATTGAAGAAGCTGGTTTTCCACCAGTTTGTATTTTAATTTCATAGAAATGTTTTTCTTAATAATTAATTTTTTAAAGGGTGTCGTCAATATTATTTCTGGTGATGGACCACATTGTGGAGCTTCACTTGTAAAACATCCAGATGTTCATAAAATCTCATTTACTGGTTCAACACAAGTTGGTAAACTCATTGGTATTGAAGCTGCTAAATTGGTTAAACGTACAACACTTGAACTTGGTGGAAAATCACCAAATATTGTTTTTGCTGATTGTGATCGTATGTAGAATAATTATTTGATTACATAGATATTTTATATTGATTATTTTATTTATAGTTGATACAGCCGTTGAAATGTCTCATTTTGCTTTATTCTTTAATCAAGGACAATGCTGTTGTGGTTAGTTAAAGTTTTACTTTAGTTTGCTTTTCCATAGTAAACACAAAAAATATTATTTTATGTAGCTGGATCACGTACATATGTTGAAGAAAAAATATACGATGAATTTGTTCAACGAAGTATTGAACGTACAAAACGACGAAAAGTTGGAGATCCATTTGATGAAAGTACTGAACAAGGACCTCAAGTAAATATTCAGAATGATTATTTGAAAAAAAATGAAAATATCTTGTTTGTTTTCTATTCAGATTAGTCACGAACAAATGGATAAAATTATAGATTTAATTGAATCGGGAAAGAAAAATGGTGCAAAATTACTTGTCGGTGGTAAACGTGAAGGTGATAAAGGTTTTTTTGTTCAACCAACACTTTTTGCTGATGTCGAAGATGATCATCGAATTGCTCGTGAAGAAGTAAATATGGTTTTTTTTCAATGATTTATTTATTTATTTTCTTCTCATTGAAAGATTTTTGGACCTGTTATGCAAATCTTAAAATTTAAAACAGTCGAAGAAGTTATTGAACGAGCTAATGATTCAGATTATGGTCTAGCTGCAAGTGTTTTTTCAAAAGATTTAGACAAATCTATTGTTGTTAGTAATGGTCTTCGAGCTGGTTCAGTTTGGGTTAATACATATGATAACTTTGATCCCGTTGCACCTTTTGGAGGATTTAAACAAAGTGGTCTTGGTCGAGAAAAGAGTGAATATTCTTTAGATTCTTACAGTGAAACTAAATGTGTATGTATTTTAAACATAAATAAATGTTTAATGTGTTTTTAAATTATTTATTTTTATTTATTTTTAGGTTACAATCAAGATTTCACAAAGAAATTCATAAACACATATCCAATATCACAAGAATCAACTAAAATCTTTGATTATCTTGTTTAACAAGCGACATTGCTCTTTTACTTATTGTAGTATTTCATCATAGAATGACAGCTATTAGCTAGTCTTTTGATTATAGTATTGTGTAACCTATTTTTTCGATTCACAAAAAAAATAAACGTTAAACATTCAACATTTATTTCTTATTGACAAAATTTATATTAATATCCAACAAGACTAATGAGAAAGAGTTATCAAATTATAAATCGCTCTCTAGACAAAACATACTCGATCATGCTAAATCTGAATATTACGATCTTTCCTACTGAATTTTCAAAGCGTTAGATTTTGAAAAGCCAAGTTTCCTAGCGGTAACAAGCCAACTTCTGTATTTTTCAAGTACAAAAGTACGAAAAAGTACCGAAAAGTTCGAAGTACTGAAAAGTATCGAAAAGTACGAAGAAGTACAAAAGTCCACTTGTTCCCCCTTGCAGGTTACTGTGAGAAAAGCATCTCTGCGCTAAAATAATTTGCTGATCTCTTTCGATTGTAGGACATGTTGTGTTGTCTGTGAGAACTTATTTTTATTCAACGTTTTGGCAATTATTGAGATCTTTATAAGACTTGAAACTTTATGTTTGATAGATTTAACTTTATTCGCTTTTTTATTTTATGTACTTTGTTTACATATTTGATCAAAACTTAACATTTGAGATTATATTATATGATATTAATTATTATGTTCTAAAGAGAAAATTAGAAAAAAGACTGTGTTCTTGAGTAGAATCGTTTCCATAGTTAAAGATATTCTTTTTTTTCTCATTTTTACGAGGAATGAACTATGTCCCGTAATCGAGAAACACTGTTTCGCTCCAAGAAGAAATTCTTTTTCGACAGAAGTCGAAACAATTCGAAGTGCAAAAGTTCATTCATATCTTCACTCATTAGCAGACATGGAACAGACATAGTTCATTGTATTTTTTTCACTCTAAGAAAAATATTCTAGCAGATATGAATTTTCACCAACAGAAATGAATAAATAATAACGTGAAATGGTTCATCCATATCTCCACTCATAAGCAGACATGAAAGAGATATAAAGAGTTATAGATCATTTTATTTTTTTCTGCATAGAATAGTTTTTTAAATTGAGATACACAAGCCATCTCTTCTTAGTCATCACCACGTATCACTTTCACTATCATTATTCTCCTATATTGTTCTGTTCTCTTTCTTTCTGCACAGTGTGTGCGATTTTGTTTCATTCCTCTCTACCATGAGTATAAATGAGTGTCATGGTTGAATGAATATGATATTAAATACAACTACAAGCAACCATATCACTGTAAATTTGTTTTTTAAATTTCATTTTGTAGGAAATCGACTCTAAATAAGCTAAAGCATTTTCAGACTAATTCTATTCAGCGCATTTAAATGTTTATAAATTTCAATTAAAACTGTTTATTTAATTAGATGCATTTATATGAATTGAATTGAATGGTAGTGATTTTATTTCAATTATCATTATTTATCTTATTTTATTTGGTGCATTTAGCGAATTATATGTTTATGATTATATGAAATCATTTTCGATTTTCTACTTAAAAAAACAAATTGATTATTCTTAATGTTTTCAATATATTATTTTTAAAAGACAACAAGTAAAATATATTTTTAACTAGCTCTGTTTATTGAAAAAGAAAAAATGAAATAGGAAAAAGGAAAAAAAAGGAAAGTGATAAATAAAAAGTGTGGGAATAAATAAATGGTTAAATAATGTTAATATTGAAAAAGAAAACAGAGAAGATAAATAAGAAAAAAAAAGAAGACGATAAATAGAAAATAGAAAACTAACTAGCTGATTAAGAAATGTCAATATATTGGATTTTGTATGCAAATAAGCCCAATTCGTCGTTTCTATGAAAAAAAACAAAAAAGCATATAGTCGAATACCAGAAATTAAATGGAATAATAATCTGAAAGAAAATGTATAAAAAATAAAATGCCATATTAGAACTATTCGTTCTTGACTAAATAAAAGAATAGTCTTAAAACAACATGCTTACTATTATTATCAAAAATCCATTCAAATATGTAATTCACTGTATAGAAATAGTAAAAAGATGTACTAGTGACTAAGAAATAACGATAGGAGAATAAATCATCTGAAGATTGTGTTCAACTATTTTACACAGTTGGAAGGAACATTTGAGCTAGCTAAGTGACTGATGAGCATATGTGACTTACAAACTGTTTGCACAAATACTTGATGCAACTATTTTATTCACTTTGCATAGAAGTTTTATTCGACCAGCTGATTAGTGAACAAACAACATGTGAATAAGTCATATGAAGATTCTGTTCTAGTATTTTATTTCGTTTGAAGAAAGATTCTCAGAACAGTTTAACATTCAGAAACAAATGATAGGTGAATAAGTCATACCAAGATTCAGTTTTAGTATTTTACTTCGTTCGAAGAACAATCTCTAGAACAGTGTAACATTCACAAACAAATGATAGGTGAATATGTCATAAAAAGATTCTGTTCTAGTATTTTTTTCGTTCGAAGAACAATCTCTAGAACAGTGTAACATTCACAAACAAATGATAGGCGAATAAGTCATACGAAGATTCTGTTTTAGTATTTTATCTCGTTTGAAGAAAGATTTTCAGAACAGTTTAACATTCACAAACAAATGATAGATGAATAAGTCATATGAAGATTCTGTTCTGGTATTTTACTTCGTTCGAAGAAAGATTTGCAGAACAGTTTAACATCCAAAAACAAATGATAGACGAATAAGTCATACCAAGATTCTGTTCTAGTATTTTATTTCGTTCGAAGAACAATCTCTAGAACAGTTTAACATTCACAAACAAATGATAGATGAATAAGTCATACCAAGATTCAGTTCTAGTATTTTATTTCGTTCGAAGAACAATCTCTAGAACAGTTTAACATTCACAAACAAATGATAGATGAATAAGTCATACCAAGATTCAGTTCTAGTATTTTATTTCGTTCGAAGAACAATCTCTAGAACAATTTAACATTCACAAACAAATGATAGATGAATAAGTCATACCAAGATTCTGTTCTAGTATTTTTTAGCATTAAAATGAGGTTTGTATCTTACATTACCGCATCTTGAAAATAAACCACAGATGAATAAATCTAACAAACATTATATTCACATACGTTATTCAACCAAATGTAAGATTTACGTTATGTTTAAAGATTAACAAGTCAATGGACAATGAATAAGTTTTAACAAGATTAAGTTCAAGTATTTTCATTAGTTTAAAGACATATTTCTATGGCACTAGATAGCTAAGAGATAGTGATTATGAATGTTCCATACCAAGCTATGATTCAGTTATTTTGTTGAAGTAGAATTGATATTCTTAAGAGACTATTTGATCGAAGAATGAACGATAATGAATATTGCGTAGAAAAGATATATACTAATATGTTGAAGAACATATAAATTGTTATTTGTATCAAAGTATATGACTTATTCTCACATGTAATATAAATTGAGCAAACAAGAGATTTATTAAAATATGTTAACGAGTTCGACGCAACATTTGTCATTGTATATCTAATTAGGAATGGTTCGATAGATGAATTGTAGTACACTAGCTAGATAGAAATATTTTGATTACAGCAATAGAAATTAATACAATGAATGTTGCAAGCTATAAGCACACAGGATATGAATCTTGTAGGACTAAACAGATTCAGATACGTTCAACTCTTCGGGAAAATAGTTTCGTTTCAAAAATGATGAAGTGTCTTTTGAAAAATGAATATTGCAGTTATGAGCAGATTCAGATACGTTTAACTCTACGAGAAAATAGTTTCATTTGAAATAATTATTAAGGATCTCATAGAAAATGAATATTTCATAGGCTTATAATCTGTTCAAATATCATTCTCGTTTGTCGAAATGTGACTGAAGTCGCAATATGATTGCATAGTATAAGTTAAACAAATAGTTTTAGGACACATAATATTAGTCAAAAATTTCATCTACTCAAGAAAAAGGTAGACATAATTCTATGTATAGGAAATTAGTAGAAAATGAACAGCTAAAATGATTATTCTGTTCAATTATTTTATTTTTTTGGAAAGCAAAATTTTGATTAATCAGATGATGGACCGTTGGATAATAATTGAATTTTTCTAACAAAGATTCTATTTGAATATATTGTTAGAATTTCAAAATATACAGATACTGTAATAATTAAAATAAAAATTGTATACTACATGAATCGTTCTAAAGATAAGTCTATTCAATTCTTACCTGACTTTTCAAGAAGAATTGAGATTTTATCTATTATTGATGAATATGTTCCAAATGAATATTCCAGAACAGTATTCTATTCGGATATAGGCCATGCTATAACAAACAATTTGAGATTCGTATTGACTGGTAAGTACACCAAAAATGAATATTTCCAACCAGGACTCTAGTCATATATATGCTTCTCTATAGTTAAAATTTGAGATTCATCACACTTACTGAATATACCGTAAATGAATAATTGTAAGAATAATTCTGTTCAAATATCTACACGGTTAATAAAAAGTCGAACACATGTGATGAAATTAGTGTCTATATTGACAATGAATAATTGTAATTAATGTTCTATTCCAATACCTTTTCATTGCAGAAAACAATAGAAAAGATCATTCGGTATTCACTAAATCTGTAGTTAATGTACATTTATGATGAAGTCATCATTCAGCATTCATTTACTATTACAAAAAAAACTTTAAATTTCTAATATATAATCGATAAATATGAGACTAGTGAATAACTCAGACAAATCCTTTCTTCGAATATATTCTTATTTACACTAAAAGCGATGAAAGTGTATTAGTTGACAAGAAAATTCATAACAAATGAACTATCCTGTCATTCTATTCAAATATTTTAATGAATCTCATGTACTTGGCGAAAGCATACTAAATAAGACAGATCACAGATAAAATGAATGAATGAT